TTACAAAAGAAAGCTTTTTTGGAGGGGAAGTAGGGAGTGAAACTTTTATAGTGATGCCCCCCAAAAGGAAGAAAAGATCATTAAAGCCTTTTTTTTAAAGGCTCAAAAGAGCTTTTAAACACAACTCATTATCTTTCCCTATAAACCCACCCCTCTTTGTACCTTCTCTATTTCTGTGAAGGAGAACACCATCCTTTCCAGTCACCCTTATTAGTTGTCTTGGTGGCATCTGCAACTCCGTATTCTCCCTCACCTCACGTATCCAGTCAGTTGCCAAATCTTATTTCCATCTGTACTACTTCTCTCCACTCATATAGCCATCATCCTAGTTCAGGCCCTTATTGCCCCTCTGTCTGTACTATCAGTAGCCTTCTTCTTGAGCTCTCTGCCCATTCCAGTCCATCTTCCATATGGCTTCAAAAGTTATTTTCCTAAAGCATAGTTCTGACCGTGTGACTCTCCTGATCAAGAAGCTCCAGTGACAACCTTTTCACTGCTGTTAAAATCCAACCTCTTCTGTTTGGGATTTATAGCTCTTCACAACCTGTCCCCATCCTTCTTTTTCAGCCTTCTTACACATTCCTCCCCACCTTGCTCTCTGGGGTCCAGCCAAACTGACTTGCAGTTCTTCATACATGATGCCCCCCCCATCTCCCATTTTCCTGCCTCTTCATTAACTGTCCCCTATGCCTAGGATTCTCTTCTTCTCATATCTGCTCTGGTTCTTTCAAGACTCATTGCAAGCCTGCCGTTTGCATGAAGATTTTCCTGGTCTTCTCTCCTCTTCTGAGCTGGTAGGACCTTGTACTTCATCCCAAGTTACTTGTGTCTACTTGTATGTGTTTGTACATACCCATATGCATTCATATTGTTTCCTTTGTTAGACTGTAACCTTCTTAAAGACTGGGATTTTCATGTTTGTCTTTGTAGCAATTAGAATAGTGCCCAGCACATGATAATAATAAATACATGTTCTTAGATTGGTTGAGAGGAAGGTATCCTGAGTCAGGAAAGGCTTCATATAGAAGATGATATTTGAGCCTTTTGAAAGATAAAAGAGATTTTAAAGAAGTAGAGGTAAGGAGAAAGTGCATTCCTAGCATGGGGGACAACGTATGCATAGACACATGACATATGATATTATGTATGAGCAAAGTAAGGAGACCAGTTTGATTAGACCAAAAAGAACATGAAGGGGAACAAGGTAGCAGACTCCAAATTAGAAGGCTATTGCAGCAAAACCAGTGCAGCTAAAATTAAAAGGAAAGCAGGAAACTGGGAAAACATTTTTGTAGCAAATTTCTTGGAGAAAGGTCTCATTTCTCAAATACATAGGGAACTAAGCCAAATTTATAAAAACAAGAACCATTCTTCTATTGATAAATGAACAAAGGATAAGAACAGGCAATTTTCAGAAGAAGAAATCAAAGCTATCAATAGTCATATGAAAAAGTGCTCTAAATCACTAATTAGAAAAATACAAGTTAAAACTATTCTGAGGAACCACCTCACACTCATCAGACTGACTAGTGTGAGAGATGGAATGACAAATGCCCAATATGGGAAAATAGGTATACTAATGCACTGTTTGTGGAGCTGTGAACTGGTCCAACCATTTTGGAGAACAATTTGGAACTATGCCCAAAAGGTTATAATAAGACTTTGACCCAGCAATGCTGCTACTAGGTCTATACCTAAGGAGAGCAAAGAAGAAGGAAAAGGACCCATATATACAAAAATATTTATAGCAGCTCTTTTGGTGGTAGCAAAGAATTAAAAACTGAGGAGATGCCCTTCACTTGGAGAATGGCTGAACAAGTTGTGGTATATGATTGAAATGGAATGCTGTTGTGCTGTAAGAAATGATGAAGGCACTAGTTTCAGAAAAACCTGGGAAGACATATGAATGGACATAAAGGGATTATGAAAATGAATTGTGAAAAACTTAGCTACCCTAATCAATACAATTATCCATGGCCATTGTAAAGATTCGTGATGAAAAGTGCTGTCCACTTCCAGAGAGAGAACTGATGAACTCTGAGTGCAGATTGAAGGATTTTCATTTTCTTTCTTTTTCTTTTTTTTCCTACAACATGCCTAATGTAGAAATATATTTTGCTTGATTTCATATGTATAATGGGTTTCCTATTTTTTACCTTCTCAATGGGTAGGGGAAGGGGTAAAGAGAGGAAAAGAATTTTGAACTAAAAATTTAAATGCTTTTAAGAAAGGTTATTGGAGTAGCCTAGGTGAGAGGTAGTGAGGGCCTGAACTAAAGTGGTGGCCATGTTAGTAGAGAAGAAAAAAAGGAAATGAAAGATGTTATAGAAGTAAAATTGGTAAGACTTGACAGTAGCAGAATGAGGAATCTTAAAGGCTGTCCTCTAAAAAGGTACCTCCTATGCATGTGTCAAAATCATAAATGATTCCATGAAAGATTAGACAACCTTCTGATTATTAATATCAAACAAGGTATAAATCAGAGACACATTTGCTCAAAGATATTTGTCACTATTGTGGGATGATATCTAGCACAAAGTCTAAAACAAAGAAGAATTCACTTTAGTATGAGCTTTAAAAAAAAGATGGGGGCTCTATGACAGTGAGAATGAGGGGTAACTGATGAAGAGTTCACCTGCTCCATTGGTATCCGCATAATATCAAGAAAATGTTAGGAAAGCCACCAACTCTGGTGGTTTTATGGGGGGACGTGGATAAGAATTGAATGGGCTAAGAAGATGGTGAATAGATTTTGATGGGCATCATTGGAGAGAGTAACCACACCCATGAGATCAGGCTCCTTTGCTGCAGGTACTAGACTCTCAGGAAGCGACAGAGATAAGCAAGATATGGTCTACATTTTCAAGAAGTTTTAACATCTAGCAAATATTTAAAAAAAGAAAAAGAAAAAAAAGCTCTGCATGTCGAAAAGAAAGCGACACTATATTAAGATAGTACAGAACTTTCCTGTTTCAGGGATCTGTAGTTTTGTTAGTGTGGATACTTCTTTTCTTCAAGCAGATTTCAACCTCCCTGTAACTTAGCCTTTGAGAGTTGAATTCAAGTCAGCAAGTATTTATTAAGTGCCTAGTGTGTGCTAGGCAGTGAGTATGCAAAGATAAAAACGGAAACAGCCTTTTCCCTGAGGGAACTTGCCTTCTGCTAGAGTCCCTGTGGCTGAAAAAAGTCAGCCTTGTGATGCATTTCTCTTGACTGAATTAGGCTGGTCCTCAGACAAAATATACATTCTGTCTATCAAGACATAGACCTGTTCTCAAAATGTTTCCTAAGGTTTCAAAGGATAATTTGAATGTATCTATATGCTGCTGCTGACCTTGGTAGCCAAAAATAAAATAAGTGACCTTCTCTTTCTGTCAATATTTCCTCTCCCCCCATCACTTTCATCCTCACCCTCAGCCAAGTGAAACGTGGAATGTGTAGCATGCAAATAAGGCAACCCATATATTTGAATCTGCTGTTTGGTAAAAATAATATTTTAAAATATTAAGCAAGTAGAATTTGTTATTTTCTGAGAGAGTGAGGAATTGATGATTTTTACTGAATTTTTCCAAACTTTCTTTCTCTAGCTTTGGAGTTAAATTTCAAGAGTTGAAGGTTGTCATCATAGAGTTCTGATATTATTTTAGATGCATTTCTTGATTTATTGGAGCCAAGTGTAAAGGCAGACCTCCAGTTAGAAATATAACTGGAAAATAGCTTTCTGGGAGAGCTTTTAATTTGTATGAAATGATTTAATTGAGCCATACGCCAGGAGAGATAGCAGCATGTTCCCCAGCATGTCTCAGGCAGAATTATTAGATAGAACTGAAGGCAGAGTGATTTTACCACCTTAGCTTCACAGTAATTGCTGTGAAATGTACTGCCTGGAGTATCTTCCTGCTTCATTGCAAAACTCAGGTTTTTAATTCAATATTTTCCTTTATGTCTCATTTCTATACGGTTGCTTCCATTGGAAAGAATAATAGGAAATGTTTTATCACATTGGAAACTGACAAATTTGTTCAAAATGCTAAAATTGAATTTCCCACCCCATCCTCTGTAACATAAGTTTAGACTGCATAGTTGAATTTCATAGAGGCAAAGTATTTGAAGATTCTTCTGAAAAGAGTACATTTTCAAGTTTTAAAAACTGATTATATGGGCATTTAGTAATGTGATTAAAGAATCATAAAAGCATATGTAGTAAATTTCAGTTTCAACAAAGGAAATCAGTGGAGTACACATTTAAATAGTAAAAATTTTACTGATTTATACACTTTTGACTTCACTTTCTAAGATTTTGTTTATGAAATAAAATATATGCCACTTTTGCCCTCTTTTTAAGAAATGGCACAGAGGAAGTTACATCTTGTTTGTTTTCTAGAAGGTAAATACTTCTTATTTTGTTAAAGCATGCTTTGAAGTAAGTCATATAATATCTGTAATTAATCTTTACGTGTCAAATTAATATGTGGACAGATTATGAAAAATTCTCCTTTTATAACAGGTTTCCCTATGGTCTATTTTAAATAGCTTTTTTTTTTTGCCCAGAAGAGTTTTTTTTCATTTTAGAAATAGAATAATTCATAGACTTGATATAAATACACCAGAACTTGCTAGTATTTATTTGAAATTGAAGTCAAATCTATTCTTTCATTGTTTATCCCATGCTAGTTATGAAAATGAATGAGAATGATATTCCATATGTGCTATATATGTAATGATAGAATATATAATATAATAGTATAATTATAATATAAAATGTATAGCCATATTATATATAAATATGTAGCACATAAGCATGTGTATTTTTATTTCTCTTTTAAACTTTCCTTTTTGTGTTTGCTCTGTTAAATCTTTTTGTTTAAAAAAAAGAAACTTTTATTAGTTACATTACTCCTAATATAATAAGTTTATCTTCTGGGGAGGAGAATATATATATATTCCAAGTACCTTACCTAAAAGGCATTCTAATCAATATTAGAGAAATACAAACCTACCTAATTGAGTCTTGATACCAGGCATGGATGAGCTATAGTTAAAAAGCCATCACTGAAGAAAACCATGAAGCTGTCTACTTTGGGAGTGATCCTCCATGCCACCAAACTCACTCTCCCCATGGCCATTCGTTTTCCCAGGTGTATAAAAAGAAAGTCGCTGTGAAATTGGGAGACTTCAATCACAGAGTGACCAAGCAAGAGGAGGACTTTGCTGAGAAGAGTGATCAGTACCAGCGAGAGATGAAGCACCTCCAGCAGCTGCTGAGAGACAAGCAAGAGGCTCTGGAAGAAGTGCTCCACCAGAAAAGGTAGAGCCAGCCCTCCCTCTGGACGAGCTGACTGAGCGTCCCTGGGGAAAGGGAGGAAGGTCAGCATCGGCACAGCTGCTGCAGCCCCTGCTTGTCAGGAGCCTCCCATCTGGCAGCTTCAGTGCTTTCTTAGGGCAGTGTCCGCTGAAAAATCTCTGCTCGCTTTCCTCCTCCCTGACCTCCCTCCCCCATCTCCCAAGGTAATACAGTCCTTTAAGGGAGTGCCTTAGAAATGGCAGCTCTTTAAAATATGGTAAGGTGCTTCAAAATAGAGAAGAAAAAAGGTGATTTGATATGGAGAAGAATCCAGGTCACGCATTTGGAAGGTGTAGTATGTCAGGAGATCACTGGAAAATCCTAATAATATAATATGAAAGCTGGTGTAGTCACTTCATCTGAATTTTCAGATGAGTGAGAACTAAAAGCATTTGGATTAACAAGTTTTGCTGACTAGGGTTAGTTGGATCTGTTTTTGGTTTAAGAAATTGACGTTGTCAAGGTATTGCATTAACTACTAATGTAGATTGTCAGAAACCTCGGCATAAATGGAAAACAAAAACAGTTCAGAAGCAGCCCTAGATAGGTTTTGATAATCAATCTTGGACATGCCCTGTAAATAGAAATAATTCCTTGAAGAGACCTTCCCTCTGGTTTAAGCTTTAGTGATACGTTTCTCTTGCCACCAAACAGTAACTCTGAGAGAGGTAATTAAGCAGTCATTTTGTAAATCATACTACCTATTGGAAAATAATTATTTATAAATTTATGAGAACTTAAGAGCAGAGAACAAATCTATTTGCATCTGTGATAACTGCTCTCCTGTGCAGGATATATAGTACTCTGAACTCTGACTAAACAGTTAGTACCTTCCCAATCAGCATAATCTTTTCAAATTTCTGGAAATTTATCAAACAGTATTTTTTAATTAACTGAATAAAAAACTTATACTTAAATCTTTGTGCAACAACTATATGGTGTCAGATGGAAACATCTGTGTTGATTTAATAATCTACCTGTTCCTCTTCATAGGGTGATTTCATTGGGAATCTGATGATTAAGCAACCTAGAAGTGTCATAAACTGCATCATCCAAGACAGTTGACCTTAACCTGCTATCAAAGGGGCTTGTGCTTTGAGTCCTCTTTCTAGGAGTGGAGTTATTAGATTTCTACTCATACATCTGTGTTCCTTTTCTTCATCGTCAGCTGTTTGAACTATTCACTAGGACATACTGGGCTGCCCTCAGAGGAATCACAGTCAGTCTAGTTGGGGAGATCGGACATACACATAAAGAGACAACTCACAGTACAGCGCGGCATATCCAGAGTACTCCAGGAATTCAGAATAGAGAGCACTCTTCAAGAATAGACTCTTACATGGTTCTCATTAAGACCAGCAGTTGTGTGTACTTATGCAGAAGCTGACTGAGCCTTAGGATGTGCTCTGTGACCAGGGAGTCAGAGAAGAACTTTATGGCCTGCCCCACATGGACATTAATTAAGCTCCCTGTGCCACCCAAATTCATCTCATTTAGTGAAGTACTAACCAGCCAGAAATTCTTAAATTGTCAGAGGTAGAAATAAGTGGCCGTAAAAAAGAAATATTCTCATGTTTTATGTCTAATGAAAGACAAAAATTTTCATTTATTAGACTTATCTTTTGTGGACACATCTTAACATGTAATCTGTTTTGCATTAAATCATCTTTGCTTGATAGACACCTTCAGAGAGCTCTCATTGCTTTTATAGCCATTTGGGGCTATTTGTATGGCAGACTTCAGCTTTGATATCATCCATAATGCCTGTCTTCTCTGATGGATAGAGTGTCATTTATATCTTTATCCTTTTGAAATAGTAAGAGATGCTGAAGCTACAGATGCAATAGCTATCTACTAAATAATAGATGAAGACTGTCTAGGGAAAGTTGTGTAGTTTGTCAAAGTGAACCTGACAGTTATCTTGTATTACTCACATCTTGTGTTAAGCAGCCCCTTTCACAATGCCAGTATTGCAACTGACCATACCTGAATTGGGAGTATTGCTGGTTTATGTTGCAGTATCACATAGATGACAGAAAATTCACTGGCTTCAATTTCTCCATCCTGCATGACTGTTTAATTTTCTGTTCTTTGAAGTTGATTCTAAGTCTCTAACATCTCTTGATTTTTCCATTTAGACTAATGCACAAAAGTGACCATAAAACCTTTTTCCTTAAAGTAATTCCTTAAATATTGATTAGGTAGACAGCTTTATAATGCAATGATAATTTGAAAATTAAGTACAGTTCCCAAGGTTATAGAACTTACATTCATCTCCTAAGCCTTTTAAAAAAATTCAGTAGCTGCAGATTTTTCTGGCTCTAATTGTTGTCTCCTAAAACAGATCGATCAATAATCCAGTCTCTCTAAAATTGTTTTAATAATCCACCTTCCAGAAACTGTTTAAAAAAAAAAATCTCCTGTATTTAGTAAGCTCTGTGGATGTCTGTCCTCATGAAATTTTTCCTGTCTCTATTTTGGTCCCCACTGTTAAGAAAAAAGAGGTTAGAGAAGTTATTGTTAGAAGTTACAGTTACTAATCATGTGTGGCTTGGCAACCATCATCTTGGTTTTGGGTTAGTTACTGTAAGTATGTAGATTTGCAACCCAGAAAAAAAGTGTTGTCAGCAGAAAACAGATTTAAATAATGTACCTCATGGTTTGGTAGTAATGTCAGAAATGGAGGACAAGCCTTTCTTTAAACACTTCAAATTTTATCACAATACATTTAAATTAGAGTTTAATTAATTGTAAATTTTAAGTCATGATTATATAATTATATTAAAGAGTAGTGTGTGGGAAAGAGGGAAGTAGTTTGTTCAACAAATGTGACTTAATATTGTCTATCTACTAGCTGAAGTTAAGGAAAGCTTCAGACTGGTTGATTACATTAGTACTTTTAGATACCTCACAGAATCCTTGTAAAGAAAACACTTTGTAAGCTTTAAGACAATATGTAAATATAAATATTATATTATATATAATTATTATATGTTATCAAAATTGTACAAACAGAAACAAAATTACTTAACAGTCCTCCAAACATATTCATTTGGACTTGACTTACCCAACCAGAATGAGTGAAGAGATAATATCTTCATTCTGGTGACATCGTACTTTTTTTGGTTTGGACCTGTGATTTCACTGGTGTAAAGAGCTTCTCTGAGAGACTCCCTCTACCAATCCAGAACTGAAACTTATATTCACATAGAGTTTCTTGGGGCAGTAACTTGCCCAGAGCCGCGAAGCAATGTGACTGTTTCTTTTTAATATCCTTTCTCAGATCTGTGTGACCAAGTGCCACAGCTTAGTCCCAAGTTTGAATTCTTTACTTTTATGCTTGGTCCTATCTTTCCAAAAGAGTTCTCAACTCTTATCACCTTCATATACACCTCAACTCCTCTCTCATTATCCTCCTCTCAGCATCATGTAAAGATAAGTCTGATCGTTCAGCAAGCCATCTTCTGATGCATGGAAGAGCTTCACTTTCAGCTAGATTGATGAAACATTTTAATGATTAACACCATGGAGGTGGGGACAACCAGCTAGATGAAACCTTTTGGAAATTGGAAATTAACTTTATGCTTGGTAAATGGTGACTTTTCCCCCAGTGTTTTGGATTTTCTTACATCATAGCATTTATGACTTCATTTTAGAATTTACTAAGTACTTTCCATGTTCGGTGTGTCATGGTAGACATTGAGGGTGCAAAGATGAAAGATGACACAGTCCTTACCTTCATGGAGTTGCTAATCTCATGGAACAATGAGATGTGTGTCCTGATGGCTGTAAACCAAGTTAGAAAATCTCAGGAGATTTGAGAAGGGAAGGGTTTCCTCAGGGTGACTAGAGGTAGGGTTGTAGAAATAGTCACATCAAATCTGTGTCTTAAATTAAGAGAAGGGCTTCAGTAGGTATTGTGGGTGGTTGGTGAGTCTGTGTGAATGCAAAAGCAAGGGAGAAGGTGAGGCCAATCATGGAACATCAAGTTGCTTCCTCTGGGTAGAGGGTAAAGCGTGCTGAGGGAATGCTGTGCAGTGATGCTGCAAAGGCGGACTGAAGACACATCATAGATGGCCATGTAGGCCGAGCTAAGCAATCTGTGTTTTATCCTTTAGGCAGTGGGGCAACTTTTGAGCAGATGACATGATCCAGTCATGTAGGATTGTTTATATTTTGTTTTAACACTTGCAGAAGTTAGATAGAATTTTCTCCATTATTATGAGTTTTTAAAATTAATTCTCTTAGATTTCAGTTACTAATTAAAGAATAACTTTGTCTTTTTTTTTATTTTTGAGAAGTGACTTATTCAGCTGGAACATCAAAGAGGTATAAAACTGAAGGCTCCAAGAAGGGACTCTATTACAATTTTACCTATAGGGTCAGAGCAGTGACTTTTAAAATATTACATCCTTTTAAAAGTATCCTTTAGGTACTATTTAAAATATTTGTGATTAGGTACTATTACTTCTTAGGTACGATGATAAAACTTTAAAATACCGCTTGGAAGCTTTGATGGTTTTTGAAACATTTTGAGTACAAAGCCATTTCCAGTGAATGAACCACATACTTCTTAGACAGAGAAGGTAAAAATGACTAAGTTACTAAGCTTAATAGGCTTTTTTCCTTTCTTTCAGCTCTCCATCCACTCCATGGGGGCATCGTCATTTTGGAAGCATGTATCATAACTCTAAAGTTGGAAGGGTACCAGGGGCCATGTAGTTCAACTTCCTCTTTTTACAGATGGAAATTAAGGGATTTGTCCTCAATCAGAGAAGCAGTAGGCATAAGAGGCAGATTCTGAACACAGATCGACTCCTTAGATAGTATCTATCTACTCTACCATGGTAACCCATCCTTTAAATCCTATTACAAATGCCATCTCCTCCAAGAAGCCTTCCCTGATCCCTACTTCTGAGAGACAATCCCCTTCTAATCAACCCTAATTGCCAAGTATTTATTAA